CCCACAGCCAGAAACTCCATTTGGGAGGAGTATGCTGCTACAGTAAGTGGGTGTGGATCTGCGGCTGTCAGTAAGTGATGCGACTGTTAGTATGAGACTGTCACTGGTGATGTGGGTATCAGACATGGATCAGAAACGCATTTATCATCTTCATCTTCACCCTCACCGTCACCAAAATCAGAAACCCAGATATACCCTCCTACTTACAGAAACTTCAATGCTTTTTAGATTTCCAAGAGTTTGTAGGATTCTTAGACTTGCATCAGTACCAAGACTTTTATGAATTTTATCATTTCTAAGGGTTGCAAGGGTAGTAAGAGTTCTAACGGTTCTATCGGTTCCGAGGATTCTAGGAGTTCCATGAGTTCACGAAAGTCTTAGAATGCTTGCTAGTTTTTCCCTGTTTTTACCCGTTTGAGAGTTCAGAGTTCCTGAAGAGTTCTGAACTCTTAGAATCGCACAACTGCTGAGTCTAGGGGCTAGTAAATCAACATGCAGTGCTGATATATATTACTTGTAAATATACTTTTTCTCGAAACACACTCAGGGGTCGTAGTTAGACCGTTCAGAGCTTTGAAAAACAAGTTGTCCAAAATGTTCTAAAGATGGGAATCAGTGAGTTGGAAGGACATCTTCTAATGAGCACAGAGCTACATGACAGTTGAGAAATGTTGTGCAACTAAGATCGAACGAAATCGAACGACGAGCATCCATGATAAGAAGAGAAGGACAAGGGTGAAAAATCTTTGTTTTCACAGAAACTATTTCGATAGATCAAAGGATAGGTTGAGAACCAGACTACATCTTATATGCTCACTTGTTGGTTTTGGCAGTAGGTATCGAGATCTACAGTCCACGCACATTGAAAGTATACCCTTCGAATTTTTGGTTTTTTATTAATGTCAATTGACCATTAAATGTAGTTTAAAGTAGAAAAAGTATACTAATGAGAAGAAAAAGTCACTTTTTCTGCCAATATACTTTTTCTACTTTAAACTACATTTGTGGTCAATATAAATATACTAAAAGATGCAGCGCATCCTGAGCTTTCTTGTTTACATATATAATAAGTTAATAGAAAAAAATGTATATTAATAAAAAACAAAAATTTCGTAGGGTATGCTTTTAGTGTGTGTGGACTGTATTAACACTTTTCAAGAAGTTCCTAAAAAATTGAGTAGAATTCATCATGGTTTGTTAGGAAGTGTCAATGTACGCATGTTGAAGTATCATTACAATTGACATATTTTAATAAATCTTCGGTATATAAATCCCAAAAAAATTCCAATATCTTTTCATTTCAATCAAATTTTGTCACCTGTCTATTGAAATTCGCCGATACCTGATAAGTCGTCCAAATATTCCAATTATTTTTAAAAAGTATATGTGTGCCATATGCATGCACAAAAAATTTCTTCTCGAATATCTAACGACTTACATACTTCCGCTTTGTTTATAACTAAAAGTACGACATCGGAATAAAAAAAACTTTTACTCTCATAAATGCAGTGTTTATTCCTGGAAAAAGTAATAGAAGATTGTTTTGCAAACGTAAGTGTCTCTCAACAAGAGAAACTAAAAAGATGGATCTTATATTATTCTCAAAGGTTATGCAACAATAGTTTTCTAGAAACAGGAAATAAAAAGCAATTTAGTATATGACAAAGTTGGAGAGATGAATAAATATTTTTCCATTTTATGCCAGTCAACTTGAAGTATATAGCAGTGTCTTAGTTGAAATTAAAAAAAGTAATTTGGAAAAAGTTAGAAGAAAAATAAATATTGAGATGCTGAATTTCTTCATTTGCCAAATTGGTTGTCATCGTCATATATTTAATGAAATAGAAAAAATGGTGAAATATTCAATAAGAATAAAAATAATCTTAATCTTATTTTATCTTTTAGTGTACAAATATTTAGGGCTTTTTTATTCTTCTAATTTTAATATGAATATCTATCAGAGATGTCCATCGCGGCTGAAAATCTGCCGCTGCCGCGCTGCGGCCTTAGAAAAAAAAAGCTGCCGCACCGCAGCCGCGCCGCGACGGTTTATAAAAAAATGTTGCCGCGGCGCTGCCGCGCCGCGATGGCTTATAAAAAAAACGTTGCCGCGCCGCTGCCGCGCCGCTGCCGCGATGAATTATAAAATAAACGTGCCGCCGCCGCGCCGCTGCCGCAGCGGTTTACAAAAAAGTGTTTCTAATTTCACTGCTGCGACTATATTTGACCAGAGATATTGGTACTAGTCCATCAGATTCATTCAGTCCCGGGGTGTTTCATTTGTAAACCCTGAAATTCTATTAAATTCATGCAGTTTTTCAATGTTCCCCAAAAAAATCCTGCCGCTGCCGCGATGGTCTTTTAAAAAACCTGCCGCTACCGCGCCGCTGCCGCGATGGTTTTTAAAAAATCTACCGCTACCGCGCCGCTGCCGCTGCCGCCACAGGCCATCGCGGCAGCGGCGCGATGGACATCTCTGATATCTATTGATGAATGATAAAACGTCATTACTGCATTTCTGTTGATTCATTCTAATGATATTAGAAATACCAGAGAAATGAATCACAATTAAATTTTACTTTCTCATAAACTGATGTAAATTAAACTGCTTCATTTTAATGTTCGAAATCACTTGAAAGAAATCTTTAATCTAGTTTTTTTCTATACTATTTCTTTTGTCTCATTGTATTCTTTTAGTTTAAGATTATCGTCGTTGTTGATTTCAAATTGTAATCAATGATAAATCGATAAATTTGACAATTGATTTTACATTAAGCACTTGGAGCATTCTTGATACTGTTCGTACCATGAAAACTTACCTCATAATTGCCTTAAAGAATAGTACGATACTTTTTTTCTCCATAAACAAAAATTAATAAATGTATATTATTGCTGCTACAAATAAAGTCGAATGGTAGTTTCTCTCTCCTTCTTCCATTTACAATTCTTTTTTTTTCTTCCCGTTTCCACTCTGACAAAAAATAGACTTTTTCCTGCTCTAAAGAAAATATTTTTTTCAGTTTGTCATATATTAGCTATCGTTTCATCTCTTATTCCTATAGTAAACAAATTAAATAGAAAAGACTTACAAGCAGGAATGCTAAATCGTAATTTTAAAAATTAGTAGTTTTCTTGCTGAAAATCAGGAGTTCGTCAGGATAATTTTTTTCAAAATTAGGAGATTTTTCTTTCAAGATTGGGAGTCTCTTGTTGGGTTTCATTTGATAAAATCTAAGTTTTCGCCTATCTACACGTTTCTAGTTTCTAAATCAACAGAATTAAACTGTGTCGTTCAAGGAAGACTCTCTTGTAAATGAAATAAATAAAGGCTATTAATTTCAGAATATTTACTTTAATATTCATGTCGTCAGCACTTAAGAGAGAGTCCGCGAGAGGACCACCTTTCGTCGCCAGGGAAAAAGAATTTTTTTTCGATTTTTTTTTCTTAAATGATAGGTCTAGGTAAACTATATTTAAATCCAAAATATTAACGCATTTGGTCTTATCTATGAAAAATGCGAGCTAAAACATGTAAGTTGGTCAAAATTGACCCTAAAAAGTAGCTAAAAATGGGTGTGTTCAGTATTTTGACATTTTCTCACGAATGGTTGGACCGTTTGAGATCGGGCACATTTCATTAGATAGAGGATAGTATAGGCTACAAATTTATCTAACTTTGATGATTCATATCTAAGATAACAGAAATCCTATAAATCAAAAACCTTTCAAATCTCAAGAAATTCGACATTCTGAGATAGCAGTATTTTGGGCTTTCCTTGAGTTGTGCAAGTGGTGCCAAACTTATTTTTGTGAAACACGATCTGAAAGGAGTGTTGAAGTGTTTAGGGGTAGAAATTTGGACCCCACCCTCCCCCCACAGACCGTGACAGACAGGCTTTAGACCCATCACAGACCGTGACAGACAGGGTCTGGACCCATCACAGACCGTGACAGACAGGCTCTAGACCCATCACAGACTGTGACAGACAAGGTCTGGACGGGTGTGGGTGTGGGTATTGGTCTTCATTCGCTCTATAGCTGCCACGACACCCACATCCACACCCACACCCTTTGTAGCCCTTTCTTCAAGGTTTCAGAATCAATTAAAAGCGCATTTTTTCTTATCCCTTTCTCGAAATATTAAGGAAACTGTGAATAGAAATGATAATATAATGACCTGATTCTCATGCTTATATGAAACAAGTTTGACATTGTAACTCAGAAACAGTTCAACCATTCGAACTGAAATTTTTATCATTGATAGACTAGAGAACGGATAGTCGGTTGATGTAGTCTTTTCGGTTTGAAATGTCTTTCTACGAAAAAATTCACACAATGCACTGTTTTACATATGAATTACCCATTTATGGTACAAAAGTGAATATGAATATTTTGAGCAAAAATGGATCTAGATCCTTCAAAAATAGCTTTATTTCGTTATCAAACTATTCCTCGTGAAATTCTGCACAAGAAAAGTCATGAATGAAAGGAAACTGACGATGATCCAAGAATGGCCCTTATACGCCCCCATTCTTTGTTTTCACAATAACTACATTTACAAAATAAAGAGAAAAACAACAATTTTGGATACTTGTCAATTGATCACATGTTCACTATTTTCAAGTTTTTCTTTCTACAAATGAATATGATAAAAAAAATGAATAAATAGAATGATAGAGAACTTCATCTTGCATTACAATCTATAATTGCTTTTTTTTTTGAAAAAGAAAATTTCGATGACAGTAACAAAATAAAGTCTGTGAGAATCTAGACATGAAAGTGCTTTCCTTACATTCAATTTATTTTGGTAATGAACAAGTACTAAATAAAACATAAATATATAAGATGATAGAAAATTTTGCTTGCTTTCAAAATATGTAATTACTTTTTCAAAAAAAATTATTTTTATTGTGACAATATATCAGAAATACAAAATCTAACTATTTTTTTTCTGATGGTATATAACAAGTAGATAAAACAAGTCGTAAGCAAATAAGTTTTTACCACCATAAATGTAAATTGTCCCGAATGTATTTAATAGAGTAATTGTTAAGTAAATTGTCTAATTTAATTAAATCGTCTACTTCTAACCAATTCTTTTGAGACAATGAAATACATAAATAAAATAAATATTGTGTTTTATTATGGGATTTTGATAATAAATACCGAATTATTGATCGAATTTCTGTTTCTTGGATTCCAATTTTAAGATCTTTTAATTTTGAAAATATGTAAACAATGAATTGAATTTGATTCAATGAACATTTACCACGAACGACTAAATTTTCGATTTTATTTTCCGTTAATGTATATTGAAAAGGTATATTTTGTTTAATGACATTTAAATCAATTGTCCACATAGAGGATTCACAAAATTCTAATGTATATAAATTCGGTGTTAAAAGTAACAATTTAATAATATGTTCGAATGTTAAATCAAAAGTTCTAATAACTAATTTTGTAAGTTGTTTTAAAGAAACTATATGATTAAGATTTGTTATAAATGAATCACCATCTGATATTTTAAAAGTCGTTTCAATAGTTAATCGATTAACATTTGAAAAATATCTTCGACAATTGGATTTTATATCAGTTTTCATATGAATATGCTCGATTGAATTTAGATTTTCTTGTTGATGATGCAAACCCAATAGTTCATCTATTTTCCAATGAAACTTATATTTTTTTCTTCTAAATAAAAATGAAATAAAGAATAATCTAGGATGAAAAATGAATAATTACTTTCAATGGAATGAAAATATTCTCTTTTTACAGAATGATTGTTTAAAATTTTTTTTGTTTAAAACAATTATACAATTTGAAAATAGAAAATCTTTCTTTTAACAGTTTTCTTTTTATCAAAGAAAAATAAGTTTTGACATCACTGTTCTATCTCTTTTGGTATCATAGATCAATTTCTATTTACCGATATAGACCAGACGAATCTATAACTCCACCAAAAGATTGATCGTTCCATTCATATTGATTTACAAAAAAACATTTATTTTTAATCCAAAAAGAAGAATTAAATTCAGTAACAACATCATGACATGAAATATCATAGTCTAGAAAATCTTGACAATTAATATCAAACACACGTAAATATGGCATATGATATACGATTAATTTTTGCCATCGTTGAGTATCTAAATATGTTCCTGTATAATAAGTCGTAAGATGTAAAATTTGCACATGATGAAAAAACTCTTTGATAATTTTCTCAAATTCATTAAAATATACCGTGCTAAAATAAATAGAAACATGCCGTAAACATTTTAATTGAATAGGAGATAATTGATATTTGATGTGAATATCACCGAACAAATGAAGAAAACCAATTGATAAATGTTGAAGTTTAGGAAGATAACATAACAAATTATGAAATGCTTTAAATGGAAAAGGAGCATTGATTATTAAATATTCTATTGGACTGGAAATATATTCAGTAAAAGAATAAAATAATTCTTCACAATATTGTATTTCATATTTAATTTTACAATATTTTAATTTTGATAAACGAAATATTTGAGCAAAAAGATAATCTATTTTCAAAATACCTTCGCCAAAAGATATAATTAATGAATGAAGATTAGGTAATTTCATAAAATAATCAAAGAATTTGTAAAAACTAATACTTTCTACATTATCTATAATCAATGTTTCAAGATGAACAAAATTTAAAATATGATCTGGTGGCGAGAAAATAATATCAGCCGCAAATGGATTTGATAAATCAAGAAAATTAATTCGATTTCGATTTGGTAGAAGAATAGTTCGATAATAATCTTCGAAATTTGATATTGATATTGTTGAAATGTTGATTTTAGTTAAAACATTTGAATTAATAGCTAAATTTTGAAATCGTTTATTAAGATTATAAAAACCTTTATAAATATCATATGGATCAAGATATTCAAATATATTATAAAGAATTATTATTTATGTATATGACAAAAAGAAATATATCTAACTTGTTTGAATTGATTGTTTTTACTGAAACCACCAAAAGACAAAAAATTAAATATAATATATATTAATGTGAAATATTACTTTGATTTTCTAATTTTCGTTTTTTATTACTATTTGAAAATTGAACTAGGTCATTGCCCTGCTGTTTCGTTCGTTTCATAATTAATATAGTTGAACAATGATGATATTGATCGAGAATGTCGTTTTTCCGTCTCCCATGAATTTATATACATGTGTAACAATAAACACAGCCTTTTTCTTTTCGGCGAATATTGAATAGACAAGCTGCGCCGCCGACGATTTTTTTTTGTTTCCTTGGGTTACATTGACGATTCATCGTTGATACAGGATATACCTTTTCGGTGGAAAAGTAAACTGATTTTATGATAGCTACAATAGCTTTACTCTGACAATATAAGAACAAATGATTATTGCAGAGCCATCCGAACTTTATTTATATATTTCAGATGTCTTTGATATTGTAGAACATTCAGATTTCTCACTCTGACCAACATTTTACAAATTCATCTCGACAAAAAATATTTTCTTTTCGAGATATTCAAATTTTGAAAAATAGAAAAATTCTCACATTCTTTATGAAATATGAGTCATCTTTGGATTTCTTGCACGTTAGGTAAGAAAGCTTCTCAACTTATGTTTCTCTCTGACAGATCTGTTTATAGTCTAATAGTTTTAGTTCGAAAAACCATTATTCAGTTCGGTAAGAAATACTCCACATCATAGACTTTAGTCGCAGTATAACACCTACACATCTCAAGAGTAGGTTTAAAGAAATGTATTCTTTTATGATTTTCATATCTCAATGAGACCTACCTGATGTACAAGATCTGAGTATGATAGTCTGAGTATCAACTAGAATTAAAGTGTATCTCTAGGCAAAGTCGACGTTGCTACCATATTCTCCATGGTGTAAATTTCTGGGAAAAAAACGCGTTCTGAACACGCGTTTTTCCATAGCTGTGAAACGCGTTAAGGCTGGCCGGTTTAACGCGTTCTACATCTGCTAAAATAAACGTTGCGAAACGATTGTTTCTCAAAAGCATTTCGCAGTGTTTCTGAAACTGTGGTATCGTATACTTTGGAGGCTAGAAAAAAAAATAAAGCCACCAAATACTTCATAGATCTCAACTTGCAGATGTGATCCATGTATTCGTTCACTTTAATTCATAGAATTACAACGCTAACTTACATTAGTTTTGATAAATTTAAGAGGTAGATTTGAACACGAGAACATAAGAGTAGAAGACATGCACACAAACCGTTCAACTAAAAGAGTCGAATGATATAAGTGTTTATTCTATTCTTATTTAGATGTTTCGTACAAATGTATGATTCGAATAAATTTTGTTTTACGTCTGAATGAATGATGAAAAATGATATTCATTTTGCTGCTTCTGTTCAAATAAGTGTGTCATTTTTTCGTCAATTTATTTTAAATTTAACTTTTAAAAATTCAAATTTGCAAAATTTTATTTTTTTAAAGTTTAAATACCCAATTAAAATGAATTTGATTCCATATAAATGGGATACAAAAATTTTAAAAAAATAAATTTCGTAAATTTAAATTCAAAAGAATTTAAATTTTTAATTTGCAAACTTAGTAAAATTTTTGTTGGATTTAATAAACTTTGTAAATGTAAATCCGTGATCACTAAATTCAAGTACATGCATAACTAAAAGAATATTTTTTCTGTAATTCGAATCTCTTCTATTAACAAGCCATACTTGCCTACATCGATAGTGTACGAACGAAAGTCATATTCTATAGTCGTGTTTCGGAGAGTATATAATCAGTCTCTATAAGGCAGTCCACGCAATAATTCACAATAATTATTATTATAAATCGTAAATTAAGTGAAGGGTGTGGGTGTGGGTGTAGGTGTTGGTGTGCAACTTGTTGTGGGTTTAATATTGAATCAACATCCACACCCACACCCACACCCTTGTGTACAACTTCATCAATATGTGAGGCCCACTAAATGGCTACAGGTTGTATCAGAAAAATAAAATATACCATTAGATGTAGCGTGAAAAGCTCTACAATTTACATAAGATCGCATATTTTATAGTTGCACTTTTTGTTATTATAATGAGCAAGATTTTGAGCGATCAATTTTCGACCTTGCAAAAACGACATATTTTCTGCTACAAGATCAATTGATTTTTTCTTATTTCATCCTTGTATCACCTGGTATCTTTTATTAAAAAAAAAACAAAATACATTAAAAAATACAACGTGACAAGGGCTACAATTTGCATAAGATCTCTTATTTTAATTGCGTACTTCCTGTTTCCAAAAACAAGTAAAATTGTCTCCAACTATCCCGAAAAAACCATCTTTTGTTATATGAAGAAAATTTTCTTGTTCTTTATCTGAAATATAAAATAAGCTGTTCTTGAAAAATTGTAGAGCTTTTCACGCTGTATCGAGTGGTATATCTTCTTTTTCAATAAAACCTATCAAGTGATCGAAAACTGAAATCCAAAAAAATGCACAGTGTAGCCATATAATCTGCCTGACATATTAGTGAAGTTGTACACAAAAATAGTTCTTATCAAAATTTTATTATTATGATACTAATTGAATAGTGATCAAATAGCATAGAAAAATAGAGCGAAAGATGCTCTATGTGTTCATAAAAAAAAGAAAATTTTCTCATGCGGTCTATAAGAAATTGAGATATTGGCGCCACTACTTTTGGTATCCCCTAAGTATATAATCATTTACGAGTTACTATTGGATTTTTAGTTGGAAAAAGACTAATGAATGATGTTGTTGTTTTACTATCATTCGTTACAGGAAAATGCATGATTGTCATGATGATA